GTGTTTTGCCAGCTCAAAAGTCTTTTCCTCACAGCTTGGATGATAAAATCAAAGGCTTCCTTCTTAGACTTCCCAATTCCTAAAGGCATCCCTAAGTACCCTGTAGAATTATGGGCATGGACACCTTCCAGCATTGCACATAAGGACTGTTTCAGTGATTGGAGAGTATTTCTACTGAAGAATGCAGTAGACTTAGCTAAATTCACATGTTGGCCAGAGAAGTTATGATAAACTTGCAGAATATGCATCAATCTCTTAACCTGACCCTTCTCAGCCTTACAGAATACCAATGAATCATCCGCAAACAATAGGTGTGTAATAATTGGGCAATCCCTAGCAATTCTAAGTCCCCTGAATTGATTTCTATCCACAACAGCTTGAATTATAGAAGGGAAAATTTCAGAGACTAGAGGAACAGATAAGGTGAAATTGGGTCACCTTGCCTTAAGCCTCTGGTTGGTTTGATGTGCCCTACAGCTTTACCATTAACCAAAAAAGAAAAGGAGGAGGTAGTTATGCAGGCCATAATCCACTTAATGAAGACAGCAGCAAACCCCATTTTTTCTAATGTTTTCTTCACACATGTCAACTCAACACGATCATAAGCCTTTAGCATATCAAGCTTCAAGGCCATGTACTGATGAGGCCCTGATCTGTGTCGATTTAAGAAGTGAAAAATCTCTTGTGCAATTACCACATTGTCAAGGAGCTGCCTTCCTGGGATGAAGGCAGCCTGGGCAGGGTTATCACAAACTTCAAGACACACTTTCAGCCTAGCAGCCAATATTTTGGAGATAAATTTTTACACCACTGCACATAGACTGATGGGTCTATATTGACTCAAAGAAACAGGAGCTAAGCATTTGGGGATTAAAGCTACCAGAGTTTGATTCCAGTACCTTCGGATTTGGCCAGATTCAAAAAAACTCAAAACTGCCTTGCAGATATCTTCTTCAATAATTGGCCAGAAGTGCTGGTAAAATAAGGCGGTCATCCCATCTTTTCCTGGGGCCTTCAGAGGGTTTATTTGAAAGAGGGCACTTTTAATCTCAACTTTATCCACAGCTCTGGTGAGTTTCTCATTCATCTCCTGACTGATCACTGATTTGATATTGCAGAGAGCCTCTTCTCCATTTGATGAGCCACCTGAAGTAAACAGATGGTCATAAAAGTTGATAATATGCTCTTCAATTGCCTCACCAGATTCAAAAAACTCTCCTTCCCTCCACCAGTCTTGAGATAGCATTTTTCCTCCTTCTATGAACAGTCATTGCATGAAAGAACTTTGTATTGCGGTCACATTCTTTGAGCCATAAGATTCTAGATTTCTGCTGGCAGAATTTTTCCTCTGAAATGAGGGTTGCATCTAATTCTGCTTGGATGGACTCTCATTCTTCCTAGTTCCTTCCTCCCCCCAACTTCCTCATTTCTTCTGAAGACAAAGTCAATTTTTCAATATTCCCTTTACTCTCAGCTCTGTAACTTCTGTTCCATTTGCACAATGCGAGCCTTGTCTTTTTTATCTTCTCCTTGATGATGAAAAAAGGTGCGCCAGTTTCTACTCCACTCCATACTGTTTTCACCACTTCTTGAGCTCCTCCTCTTTGTATCCATCTTTTGTCAAATGCAAATCTAGACTTCATAGGTTTGGAATTGGAATCCCAGTCAAGCAACAACATCCCGTGGTCAGAAGAGCTTCTGAAGATGTTTTGAACACTAGCTTAAGGGTGAGATTCCATCCATTTCAGAGAGCCAAAAGCTTTGTCAAGACTTCCTCCATATATCCCTCCTCTTCTCTGTTATTCCCCCATGTAAATTGGTAGCCTTCTATTTTGATTTGAGACATTCCCATCAGAACAATGAAATAATTGAATCCTTCAAAGCTTTTGTCATTTCTGGTTCTCCCTCTCTTCTTTTCCTCCTTGCAACATATAGCATTTCAATCACCTATGGAAACCCAGGCTTCACCTCATTGAAACATATCCTCCTGCAAAATTCTCCACTGCATCTCTCTATCCTGCCTGTTGGTGCTCATGTACACAAAGTTGATCCATTCCTGATTAATGGAGTTCCCCTCTCTGAAAAGAGCTTGAATACAGAAGTCCTGCCCTTTCAACTGAATAATCTCAATACTCTTGTCCCAGCATAAAAGAAGCCCCCCTTTGGTGCCATAGAGTTCCCAGTAATACCATCTCTCCTCAAAGCCCAATTTCAAACAAACTTTAGAAACAAAATCCCTTTGTTTTTTAACATCGGAAAGGAACACAAAACCTGGATGGCGAGTCTTCACAGACTCTCGCAATTGGGGAATCGTAGAGGGCCCATCCAGCACTCTACAATTCCATACCATGGCCTTCATTGGGAAGGTGGGAGCCACTTCTGGCTGGCTGCCTTCACCATTTGAGTCTGTGTTTTAGCTTTGTTCCTCGTTTCTGACACTTCTTGATTCTCATTAGCATGTTGAGTGAATAAAACAATTTCTGAAGCTGGCCTCTTCTTCTCTCCACTGGCTGGTTGTTCTTCTTCTTTGCGTTTCTTCCTTTGCAACCTGCCTGATTTGTCTGATTTTGTCTTCCAGGTTCTAGTCTATTTTGGCATTTGTTCTTTATTATCTGGTTCCTCCTGTTCTGCATTCATAATGTCCATCAACAATTTGGTTGACCTATCACCATCCACCATTACTTGTTCCATGACTGAGACTGCATTCTCTGAGATCTCAATGGAGATTTTAGTGGCCCCCTGAGCTGTACCACTGTCAGCAGGATTAAGAAGACTTGTTTGGTACACCTGTATTCTTTTGGAACTAGATGGTTGATTTTGAAAATCGTCTGATTTATTTGAGGAACC